TTGATTGCCTCCTTTCAGTTCTCTGACACAATTAAATCACACGACAGACCATGTATGTTATGACCTGTTAAAGTGCAGACAAATATTGTCTTTTATCTCTAGTGAGTGTATGTAAGTATAGCTGTTTCCCTACAGTCTGTGGGTCTACAACAGTGACAGGTAGACTGGTAGCTCCCATCTCTCCCCATACACATTTTTTACCTGCTACAGGTTAATTACACATAGATATGTAACATAACTATAACTCATTTATGCAGACAGAAATGTCAAAACATTTATTAATACGATGATCTGGGGTTGTCGATGATGCTTTCCGCGTGTCAGAGATTTTAGAAGGCTCTATGCTGTAAATGTCTTAATCAATGACATGAATAAACTTCTAGTGCATTTTTTGCATGTTTAAATGGGTCCCTGATTGTGCAGTAACTTAACAACGCTGTACATCCAGTTGACCTCAAAGACAGCTATGTCTGACAGCTGTCAATAAATCCAGGATGTCGAATTTAATGTCGGTTTGGAAGGTTTTCACTTTTATTTTAACAGTCTAACACCTACTTTCTACCTCACCTACAAGACACATCAGTCACGGTTTATTTTTTTGAAATCGAAGATGTATTAAAAATTCATGTCATGGATTTTTCACCAATATGGAATAGTAAGAGAGGCTATATATTGATGATGTGTATGAGTTGGATGTAGTGTGAGGTAATGGGACTACATACTTCCTGCTAATCACACGATGACTAGTATACCTGGTGAGTACTTCAGGCTGGTGTCATCACCTGAGTCAGGGGTGCCACATCTGGTTAACATCCAATCAGGCATACTACCCTCAGGTGCTACCACCTGGGGACTGGGTGGAGTCTGTGTATTAGTATGGTGAAGTGGGCTCAGCAGCCTGGCAGTCAGTGGCACAAACAGTACCAGAGGTGCTGTGGTATTTAGTACAACAGATAATGGTATTTAGTACAAGAAGTACTGGTATTTAGTATGATGGTAACTCAGTAGATCCCTAAATGACTTTATGATTATACTAATGTGATTGACAGCCTGACTGATGTGTATCCATCAGTGTTACTAATTAATTGGTTAGCAGTCATGTAACACTTACAGAGCTTATAAATGTATAATAGCTCCTGTGGATCAGGGGCCTGTCACTTCTTTAGATCAGTGCTTTGGTGATTTTCCAGCAAATATGATATACTAGCCCCTGTGGATCAGGGGCTTGTCATATTTTAAGATCAGAGCTATGAGTATTTCCCATCAGATTTGGGACCTGTCACGTTTTGAGATCAGGCTATGGGTATTTCCCATCAGATTTGGGACCTGTCACGCTTTGAGATCAGGCTATGGGTATTTCCCATCAGATTTGGGACCTGTCACGATTTAAGATCAGGGCTATGGGTATTTCCCATCAGATTTGGGACCTGTCACGCTTTGAGATCAGGCTATGGGTATTTCCCATCAGATTTGGGACCTGTCACGTTTTGAGATCAGGGCTATGGGTATTTTCCATCAGATTTGGGACCTGTCACGTTTTGAGATCAGGCTATGGGTATTTCCCATCAGATTTGGGGCTTGTCACGTTTTAAGATCAGAGCTATGGGTATTTTCCATCAGATTTGGGGCCTGGCTTGATCAGGCTATGGGTATTTAAGATGGAGCCAGAGCTATGGGTATTTTCCATCAGATTTGGGGCCTGTCACATTTTAAGATCAGAGCTATGGGTATTTTCCATCAGATTTGGGGCCTGTCACATCTCTAAATCACAACTTAACTGGCTGTTTTCTGTCAGTTTTGATTGATACTCTAAATCCGGTATAAATGATACAACATTAGATCCCATCTTATTGCCAACTTATATTACCAATATTATCATAAAAAGTAAACTTACAAATCCGATTTTTATTCAAGCCAGCCACATCTGATAATCTCATTTTCAGGTTGGTGGTTGATCTCTCTGGACATATGTCTGAGGATTATACTTAAACAACCCTATTATATCATTATCTATCTCCACCATTGTACTCAAGGCTGCAGGTCGAGGGAGAGCAGTGGGGAGTGGTTAGGGAGAGGAGATCCCCAACCCATCGTTGATGGGTTAAGTAGGAGGGAGGTGAAGATTGTACCCCCAGGGACCGGTATAGCAGCTGTGGGGTTGGGATATAAAATATCCCTTTCCATCATGGACAGAAACAGTTGGAGGAAAATGAAACAGCAGCTCCCAGAAAAGTTGTGTAATAAATACCATCATTTTAAAGTCATTTTATCTTTTTATTACAAGCAAAACCAATCAGGAGACTTACCCAGACAATAGTGTTAGAGAGTATCCTGTCTTACATCTCTCAGTACATGTCTGCCAGAGCTCCGGGCTGTTAATCCAAGATTAATGACCCTATTAGACAGGTGTCCGCACTTCTATAGGATTAACTAGGTGTGCAGGCATACATTACATATGCTTGGTAAAAAACTCTCATGGACACCTTACTTATCAGAACAATGGATAGATCATTATATAATGTTGTTTATTTTTCACAATATAAACATATTTTATCTACATCAATAACAATCTATCAGCTGTATTCTGCAGCCGGTGCCATCTTGGGAACGTTTAAGTTTCCAATTTACAGTAAATCATTTCATAATTAAAATAAGTGTGAACAGAAGTGTAGTAATGTAGCTTCATAGCAACCATTGTTAGTCAGGCTTGTAACACAACTCTGTTACTCAGGAATCAGGATACTCTTTCAGACAGTGTAGAACTGTGACTAGAATCAGTACCACCCATTAAGACACTGTAGGTCTGTGACTAGAATCAGTAACACTCTTTAAGACACTTTAGGTCTGTGACAAGAATCAGTAACACCCATTAAGACACTGTAGGTCTGTGACTAGAATCAGTAACACCCATTAAGACACTGTAGGTCTGTGACTAGAATCAGTAACACCCATTAAGACACTGTAGGTCTGTGACAAGAATCAGTAACACCCATTAAGACACTGTAGGTCTGTAACTAGAATCAGTACCACCCATTAAGACACTGTAGGTCTGTGACTAGAATCAGTAACACCCATTAAGACACTGTAGGTCTGTGACTAGAATCAGTGACAGCTGTTAAGACTCTGTAGGTCTGTGACTAGAATTTGTGACACCCTTTAAGACAGTGTAGGTCTGTGACTAGATTCAGTAACACCCATAAAGACATTGTAGATCTGTGACAAGAATCAGCAACACTCTTTAAGACAGTGTAGAACTGTGACATGAATCAGCAACACTCTTTAAGACAGTGTAGAACTGTGACATGAATCAGCAACACTCTTTAAGACAGTGTAGAACTGTGACATGAATCAGCAACACTCTTTAAGACAGTGTAGAACTGTAACTAGAATCAGTGACACCCTTTAAGACTCTGTAGGTCTGTGACTAGAATTTGTGACACCCTTTAAGAGTGTGTAAGTTAGAGATCCCTGAATCTGAAGGTCTCTCACTAGAATCTCTTTCTGTGTGAGTCACTGCTGTATATGTTGGTGATCTATCTCCCCAAATCCACTTTGCAATGATCAATATAGTAAGTGTGGTTTGTCAGTGAGTATACCCTAATGATTCCCTGCCACATGTACACCAATGACATATGATCAGCACTATAGCCGATATAAAATCAATATCTCTTTCTCAAATAAATCTTTGTTACAGAGGAGGCAGAGAGACCCTGGTATCAGGAGGGAAGGAGAACTACCACGGAGGCAGAGAGACCCTGGTATCAGGAGGGAAGGAGAACTACCACGGAGGCAGAGAGACCCTGGTATCAGGAGGGAAGGAGAACTACCACGGAGGCAGAGAGAGCCCCCTTCTACCAGAAGGGAAGCCAGAGAGTGACCCGGGGACAGAGGAACCTGGTACCAGTAGGCAAGCAGGAGAGTGACCAGGGGCAGAGGGCCCTGGTACCAAGAGGGAAGCTGGAGAGTGACCAGGGACAGAGGGACCTGGTACCAGAAGGCAAGCAGGAGACTGACCAGGGGCAGAGGGACCTGGTACCAGAAGGCAAGCAGTAGACTGACCAGGGGCAGAGGGCCCTGGTACCAAGAGGGAAGCTGGAGAGTGACCAGGGACAGAGGGACCTGGTACCAGAAGGCAAGCAGGAGAGTGACCAGGGACAGAGAGACCTGGTACCAGGAGGCAAGCAGGAGACTGACCAGGGGCAGAGGGACCTGGTACCAGAAGGCAAGCAGGAGAGTGACCAGGGGCAGAGGGACCTGGTACCAGAAGTGAAGCAAGAGAGTGACCAGGGGGCAGAGGGACCTCGTACCAGAAGTGAAGCAAGAGAGTGACCAGGGGGCAGAGGGACCTCTTACCAGGAAGGAAGTAGGAGAGTGATCCAGGGGCAGACACATGGGGACCAGGAAGGAAGCAGGAGTGTGACATGGGAGAGAGAGAGAGCCCCTGGTAACAGGAGGGAAGCATGAGAACTACCAGAGAGCCAGTGAGAGCTCCTGGTACTAGGAGGAAAGCAGGATAGCGTTCACTTGACAGTGTTATCAGAGCCAGTATGTAAAGATAAACAAAAACAGTTTCCAACACAACAACCCCAATTCTCTGACATCATCCCTCTTACATTACCATCAGCTCTATTTATAGTGGTCTACTTCCCCACTGACCTACATATAGGTAAGTGATCTCTGTATTAATTATAGCCTTATTTCATTGATCAGCTGACCCCTGGCTATAACTACAAACTTTGTCAGTGTTTTGCTTTAGACTGGTTTTTTTGTGGGCCATCTCTATGCCTACAGACAGGTGTGTATGTCACCTGTAACACGGTATGTTGTGTATTGGTGTAGACATGTTATCTACCGTACTGATGTCTATCCATTAATGTCATTCCTCTACGCTCCATATAGCAACAACGGTGACCAGATTTACACGCCACGACACGATCAACCCAGACAATGTTGTGAAAACTTTTATTGAAACAAATTTTAATACGAGACATTTAACTTACCATACTGGTCCCGACAAGTCTGTGTTTCACTCTGCTAACATGATGGATGCTAAAACCTAGCTCAGTGATGGAACTCCAGTTTCTGGATGGAATCTCCTCCTTGCACGGTTCAACCATTACCCTTCGTAACATTACCAATCAAGACCTGTTCAGGAAGATGAAGAGAAAGGACGACTTTTAACTAAAATAGATTTTTTTTTTTTTTTTAAATTGCAGCATTGTTAACCAGCTAACATCTCGTGTGATATAACTTTTGTCCCTTGACTTGAAACAGATGTATGATACCATATGTATGTTATGCTGCAAAGCAGAGTTTTATTTTTTCAAATTTCAAGGGCTAGTAACAGATGTTGCTCAAGTTTGCTATCCCTCCCCTTACATGACAGATGGAACATCAAATCCCCATACAAGACAAACTGTTCACCTGAAGTATTCACAAGTTCTCCCTATAAGGCACACTGTGCATTGGTTCTTCCTAGATGACACACTTTACACTAGCTCTCCTACAGAACACACTTTACACTAGCTCTCCTTACAGAACACACTTTACACTAGCTCTCCTACAGAACACACTTTACACTAGCTCTCCTTACAGAACACACTTTACACTAGCTCTCCTACAGAACACACTTCACACTAGCTCTCCTACAGAACACACTTCACACTAGCTCTCCTACAGAACACACTTTACACTAGCTCTCCTACAGAACACACTTTACACTAGCTCTCCTACAGAACACACTTTACACTAGCTCTCCTACAGAACACACTTTACACTAGCTCTCCTACAGAACACACTTCACACTAGCTCTCCTACAGAACACACTTCACACTAGCTCTCCTACAGAACACACTTCACACTAGCTCTCCTACAGAACACACTTCACACTAGCTCTCCTACAGAACACACTTCACACTAGCTCTCCTACAGAACACATTGTACACTATTTCACCTAAGACACTTGTTCCCTTTACATCACACTAAGCTATCTTCCAAACAGCTCTTTAAAGCAAACTGTACACCAGCTCCCCCTACATAGCAAATTGAACACTAGCTCCCCCTGTAGGGTGATCTATACAACAGTTCCCCTTATAGGACAGCTCCTCCTATTTGACAAACTGTACACAAGCTCCCCCTACATGGTTACTGTACACTCCCCCCCCCCATGTAGGGCGATCTGTACAACAGTTCCCCTTATAGGACACCTCCCCCATTGAACAAACTCAAACTTTATACCAGCCTTCCTCCTCCCTGCATGACAAATTTTACACCAGTTTGTTCCTCTTACAAGAGAAACTGTACATGTACACCAGCTCCTCTTACAGGAAAAATTGGACACAAGCCCCCTACACACTTAACACTAACACCAGCTCCCAAAAACAGGAAAAAGTTAGTTCCCTAGTTGAGCCTGAAGAAGGTAATACTTTCTCAGCATTAACTGTAGATATTCATTCTGGAAGTCCCTTTTAAAGTCCCTAATGATTTGAAATTGAAAATACAAAAGACAGAAGAAATAAAAACAGCATGGTAATGAGTCTAGGGGCTTAGTATTGAAAACTTGATGAAGTAAGACTAAACAGCAATACACATTAAACTCATTTCCTGTCCCTTATGTACAGCAGTACACCAGATGTTTCTAACCAGCAGGAATAAAGTGAAAACATTTGTACAAACTTAGCCCCCCTCCCCTAGGGGAGGGTCAATCAACTATCATGCTGCTCTATACATCTCAAATCTCATCTACATCTAAGGCTGATTAGGTTACACGCCACTACAACTATACATATTTATATACAAACTACTGGCACTTGTCCCCAGATTTTCGATGATTTAAGGTGCCATCCCACCAAAGGTTAGCAGGACAGGGTCAGATCACTGTTCATATATACACAGAACTATTTAGCCTCAGTGATGCTTAAAGTGATGTGGTGGTGGGGTTGTGGTGGTGATCAGGTTGAAATGGTGCTGGGGTTGGGCAGGTGCTGGTATTGAGGTTGAGGTAGAGGTGGCTACAGGGTTGAACTGTTGGTGAGGTTGAGGTGGTGATCAGGTTGAAATGGTGCTGGATTTGAGGTAGGGGTAGAGGTGGTGATGGGTTTTCATGTAGCAATTGATGTGAGGCAGTGTTATTGAACTGGTGGTGTTGGTGGTGGTGATACTTGAGAGCAGCCGATACTAGTTCAGATGATGTTAAAATTTTGGTAGTCCTGGAGTGTGATAAGGTTCAGGAAGGTATTGGAGACAGTGAAACTAGGTCCAGACGACCCCTATAAATTGTGTAGTGAAATAAGTTTCAATGACTTATAATTAGTAACAGTGACCTTGACATGCTGACACATGAACTCATTCACCTTTGAATTATAGAAATGAAGCTGATGATGTGATAATAATGATTCATACCTGGGTACTTAAGTTAATTTTTATATTTGTCTTCAGATGGATTAATTTGATTTATTCAGATTTGATATTACACGTGGTACAGCCTGTTTTCCTCCCAGGTTTGTGAGGGAGGAAGAGGAAACATGCTGACGGACCTAGACAGCATTGGTAGTATCAGACAGCCAGCCTCCTGTGCAGGTGTAGCCAGTCTGAGCTGGGAGAGATGACCCCTAAACCATCCTGTACAAGTAGAACACATGGATCATTGGCCTGTAGAAAACAATTACTCCTGTAGGCCTTGCCCCAAACTTCAAAGCCTGCTTCTATGAGATATGAGTTTCCAATGGCCCCAATAGTTTTTATACATCCCCAGGTGATAAATGAACTGTCTTACGATTCTCTGTCTCCAGTCAGGTGAAGGTGACACACCATATCCAGGTCAAGGTCACAGCATCAAACCCAACATATGTTATCTATAAATAGCAGCTTATTTTACATGATTTAAACGGGGAAAAAATGACTGTCAAAATTTATCATAGAAGTATTGGGTGGTTATTGTAGGGCAAACCTATAAGTGTAAACAGACAGCCCGCACAGAACACCAGCACAGCGTTACGTCATCCCCGATTACAGCTGGCAATTTTCTTTCCCTTGATAATCTATAAAGCTATAGTTATATTTAAACTATTTTATCACCCTGATTACTTTTTACAAAACATGAACTCAGTCAAAATATAAGGAGGCCTAATGTCTAGCTGTAGATGCTGACTAGGAGATTTTGTTCCAAAAGAAAAAAAATCCCTCAATGTACTGTAGCTGCGAGTGAATCATTGCCGACTCTCACGTGCATGTACTTTGTAAGCTCTTCTCAACACACAAATTTCCCATTTAAATTACTCTTCCAGGTCAAGGTCACCATTACCGTAGTTAACATCAATGTCAAGGTCAATCTTGTAAAACATAACTGCAAATTTGATGTCACCAAAACCATAGCTCATCAATGTCAAGGTCATCGTCACTGTAAACAACTTCAATGTCACAGTGACCGTCCTTACTTCACATGGAGAGGGGTACATAAGTATGGCCCATAGATCTTGACTCCCTGAGGTGTCAACAGCTGGCCATGTGAGTCTAAATCTTACAAACAGTAGCCATGGAACAATATGATCTCGGAACACTTTTTGAATTCAGATAGTAGCTTTCGGAAGTGAGATGAATACACAGTTCTCCTGGTCATCTTAATCCCTTCCGCCACAAATAGCTGAGGACGTCAATTCATATTGTTCGTATGAGTGTTTCCTCAATCACTTCCTGAGTAGGACTATTGAGTTTGGGTTGGTGTGTATGGCTGTTCTCATAAGTATTCCAATGATTCCCCATTTTTGATTGGTATACAATAGCTGTAACCTTGAGTTTCCATGTTTTAGATATGAAACAGGATCAATAGATGTTATATTGTACCCAGAGGACCTGCCCAAAAGTTCCATCTGGCTTTTCACACAGCCCACATAGTAAGGGTTCATTAGGGAAATCACACAAGTTATTTACAAGTGTTAACAATAAGATTACAACCAACACTGCATTCTTCTCCTCATACTCTGACCTTGGAACACCACATTTACATCAATTGTTGTCCTAGAAACAGTGACATTGTAACTTAGATGGTAACAGTATAATTTGTAACTGAGAAAATCATGATGTAATTTGTAACTGAGAAAACAATGTAATTTGTAACTGAGAAAACAATGTCATTTGTAACTGAGAAAACAATGTAATTTGTAACTGAGAAAACAATGTAATTTGTAACAGAGAAAACAATGTCATTTGTAACTGAGAAAACAATGTAATTTGTAACAGAGAAAACAATGTCATTTGTGACAGAGAAAACAATGTCATTTGTAACAGAGAAAACACTGTAATTTGTAACAGAGAAAACAATAATGTAATTAATAACTGAAAAGAACAATGATGTTATTTATAAAAAGGATGATGTAATTTATAACTGAGAAATTGATAATGTTATTTGTAACTGAGAAAACGATGATGTAATGATGATGAAGATATTTTGTGATTATGAAAAAACTTATGTAGATTGATATATATATATACATGATACCATTGTATTTAAATCCAAATACCAATGTTAAGAAAGTCTAGCAGTGTGAGGTGAATATACTGTTCATGAGAAAGAAGCTAATCATATCCACATGTAAATTAGGATTAAACTCCTGAAATCACTTCATAAAAGAACACATATAAAGTAGTTAGTTTTCTCCATCTAATTTACTCTTTGACTCTAAAACCTACTAATCCTCGCTTGGAATTCTCATCCATGCTTCAGTTTAATCATTCTACAGAAAGGTTGTTGTAACCAGCCACATTCAACACAGATTTTAAGGAGGAATATCAGATACGTTACAGGTTCCAGGGGAGGAGAATGTATTTACATTTACATCACCTGTCATCTCACAATTCTCAAATAGGTATCACAGAATTTCAAGAATCTGTTTATTTGATTAAGATGTGTGTCCTGTACTACCACAATGCTCTGTCAACTTCCTGATTACAACAACAACAACAAACAGGACACTTAGCTCAGTGACCAAGCATGGTCCTAGTGCAACACGAGTGCATTTTAAGTATGTCACAAGAGTTTGTTTGTGGTAGCCGTGTACATATATACCTTCATGTGAACATGCTCATGGCAAAGTCACCACGAGCACTAAAAATATCTCAAACACAAAATGTAACAAACGTGTCAATTT